AGGGTCGGTATTGGCACAAATAATGTCCATTGTCTATATAAATGATGACCCATGAAGGGTTGCGGATATATGTGAACATGCTGTGAATAATGCTAAGGTGACGGAGAGACAGAGACCCAGATAACCGTCATGCCTTCAAAATGGCCTAACCAAATAAGGCAAGATAAGCCAACACGAGTCGACATATGATATGACCACGACGTACAAAATTTGAATAGGAATATAAAAAATTAAACACAAAAATTAAATTAAATTTAAGCACAAAATTTTAATAGGAATATACAAAATTAAAAAAAAAAATTGTTAAGTTCCGCAACAAGGAAAACCAGAGGCCATAGATTTAACCTAAGAAAACATGGCGCCGAAAAAACCTGCGTAAAAATTCTTTTACAAACAAAGTTGTGAATAAAGTGGTAGACGGATGGAATAATTTAAATGAGACGGTGATAGGTGCCAAACTTCTAAGAAGCTTCAAAGGGTCACATGACAAAGATTATACGAGCGAAACTGCCGTCGTGTAACAACGCTTGGGTACTATAACTGCACTTAGGAAATTAGATACACATACACAGACTTTTAAATTTAAGCTCGTGTAATTCCTCGGTTACATTGAAACTAATACAATCATTTCGTCCATACAATTACACATGAACTGTTCATTCTTTTTTAATTTACCAATAAAACCCTTCCCCCTTCCTCCTACATGCATGAGTTGTCATTTAAGATCTGCAACGATTCTTGCGAGAAACTGCACGATAAAACTCCAATAGGGAAGAGATGCGGTCACTGAGGCTGTGACGCTCGCAGCATTTCTCTGTTTATCATCTGCCTTACCTTCGTTTGCATGCGGGTAAGCCTGGACGTCCTCACTGCTCCGTCTCCTCCTCCATTATTCATACCAGGAGCCTCTAGTGCTATACACCTTCTTGTGCCGCCTGTTGCGGGGAGTCGGGTGTGTGAAGCTCCTACCTGGAGAGTCCTTTAATACGCCAGGTGTGTGGCTGGTGACTGGCGAGCCGTTGGGTTGATCAATTGTGTGACTACTGCTTGGAAATCCACATAATGGAGTCAGATATTTGGTTTAAATTTGGAGAAACACTACATGGATTTGTTTTGTGGGTGATTAGAAGTAAGCTTATGAGGCATTCAATCGGTTGGTTGTTGGTTGTTGTGTCTGGCGTGGCAGGTTCTCTATAATGTGGTGGTAGATATGGCACGGGCCTGTATATCTTTATTTTTTTTCTACAATAGGCGTGGCCACACATTTACAATGGTAACCAGCATATATACATTTTCTGTCCATCCTCCGTGGACAGGGTTAGAGATCTGTTAATCATATAGTTCAACGATTTGTTGAACAATCAACCATAGACGGTAACTGTAGTGCTTTTAAAATGCTACTCTAACCTACATACATAAATATATAGATTGTACCGTAACCTGAGTGACGTAGTGATGATTGTATGGTACCCTGAGTGACGTGGTGATGCTTGTATGGTACCCTGAGTGACGTGGTGATGCTTGTATGGTAGCCTGAGTGACGTGGTGATGCTTGTATGGTACCCTGAGTGACGTGGTGATGCTTGTATGGTACCCTGAGTGACGTGGTGATGATTGTATGGTACCCTGAGTGACGTGGTGATGCTTGTATGGTACCCTGAGTGACGTGGTGATGCTTGTATGGTACCCTGAGTGACGTGGTGATGTTTGTATGGTAGCCTGAGTGACGTGGTGATGCTTGTATGGTACCCTGAGTGACGTGGTGATGATTGTATGGTACCCTGAGTGACGTGGTGATGATTGTATGGTACCCTGAGTGACGTGATAAACTGTCCTTATTTTAGAGGATTGATAAGAAAACTGAAGCAGCCATATCAATTACACAAAAAGTGTGTGTATCCCAGTGTACCAAGATTCAGAGATAAGGGCTTAAGTCAAGTGTAATTAAGTAGAGTATTATGGTGTGTATTTATAAAGCAGTATAAAGTGGGACAAAGCTTGGACCTGGTAACATGACCAAACGTTTGGCAACGATAACATCGGCGTGGATGGAGAGAGTATGGCTTCACTGGAAACTTATACCACCTGTGTGGCTAGGCAGGGAAAGAGAGTGTGGCCAGGCAGGGAGAGAGTGTGTGGCCAGGGAGAGAGAGTGTGGCCAGGCAGGGTGAGTGTGGCCAGGCAGGGAGGGAGTGTGTGGCCTGGGAGGGAAGGAGAGTGTGGCCAGGGAGAGTGTGGCCAGGCAGGGTGAGTGTGGCCAGGCAGGGAGGGAGTGTGTGGCCAGGGAGAGAGAGTGTGGCCAGGCAGGGTGAGTGTGGCCAGGCAGGGAGGGAGTGTGTGGCCAGGGAGGGAAGGAGAGTGTGGCCAGGGAGAGTGTGGCCAGGCAGGGTGAGTGTGGCCAGGCAGGGAGGGAGTGTGTGGCCAGGGAGAGAGAGTGTGGCCAGGCAGGGTGAGTGTGGCCAGGCAGGGAGGGAGTGTGTGGCCAGGGAGGGAAGGAGAGTGTGGCCAAGTAGAGGTCCTAACTCACAGAGGTGAGGCATAGTTATCATCAGGAGAAAGCGCTAAGTCGGAGTGACTGTATAGCACTTGAGAGAAATGTGAGGACAAGAAGCTGGGATAGGATGGAAGGAACGGTGACCAGCCCCTTGGACCATCGGGGATCGAACGTCGACCTGTAAGAAGCCAGGTCGTCGCTCTACTGACTAGTCCAAGAGGTGAGTTGACCATGAAGCAGCCCATATACTATCTGGAGCAGAACCGGTATAAACTCCCACTTCCAAATTCAAATATTAAAACTTTACTCATAAATGCTTGTACATTTATAGTTGAGTTAATTTACACAAAAATACAGTTCATTATTTACACAAAAATACAGTTCATTATTTACACAAGAGAAAGTCATAATAACAGCATAACATGTAATCATTATATAAATGTAGCTTCTAGATTTAGAAGCTACATTTATCAGATTTAAACAAACCCTTACAGTCGTGGCTGGAGCGAACAGTTGTTACAGCCTCTCCCGTCCACACATACCAACACCCTTTCCACCACTATCCACACCAAGACTAACTTCAAGAGAACATAGTTTAAACAAGTGAAAAAAGTACCAAGTTCATTTTAGTGATATAGCCAAAGCTCACGAGTAGAAGGTGAGGAAGGCAGCGTTTCGTGGAAGCATCGTGATTCATCTGGGAGGGTGTGTTCCAGGACGCAGCGTCCGGGGAACGTGCTTGACCTCTCCCAGATAAAAACATGAGAGGATCAGACACCTTTTGACCTCCGCCTGTCACTCAGGATATTACTCTCTGATTTGTAGAGCCGACGAGAGAGCTCATTGGCTCCTCGCTGCGAGGGCTCATTGGTCAGATTCCCTTGCTCACATTAGTCGCGTATTTCCCATTGGCTGTCTTAGACAAGTGACATAAGTGGTAAAATATAACACTGCAGACATTAGCAATGGGATTCTTACCAACACACACACTCGCAACACGGCCAACACACACACACACATCCCAAATAGAGGTGCTCTTCCCAGCGGACAATCATGCTTAGCTGCGGTAAACACCTTAGACCAGCCTCACACCGTTCTACAGATGGTAAAAATTAACCCTGGGGAAAAGAGAGATCGCAGTGATAAATAGACAAGGTGGGCAGTGTTGTTCTTCTGTGGCCAGGTGGTGGCCTTCTTGGCAACACCCGCTCTCCGTCGCCTCTCACATATACACACCAATACTTGCGCAAGCTGGTGTAGTGTAACTCACATGTTGCTTACCTTAAAGGGTGTAGAGCGATGAATGATCAAATGCAATTAAACATTACTCGTACTTTAGTAAACTTGTATTGGTTTATAAATTACTGTCAGACAGATCAGCGGAGTGATCTGTCTGTCAGCGGAGTGATCTGTCTGTCAGCGGAGTGATCTGTCTGTCAGCGGAGTGATCAGTCTGTCAGCGGAGTGATCAGTCTGTCAGCGGAGTGATCAGTCTGTCATCGGAGTGATGTGTCTGTCAGCGGAGTGATCTGTCTGTCAGCGGAGTGATCTGTCTGTCAGCGGAGTGATCAGTCTGTCAGCGGAGTGATCAGTCTGTCAGCGGAGTGATCTGTATGTCAGCGGAGTGATCTCAGTATGATTCATCTCCTATGAATGATAGTGAGCTAACCAATGACGACAGGAGTGATATCGTTACTCCCGGCCAAGTACGAGAGGTGAAGGCTATAGCAGCTGTACTGCAAGACCCGACATGAATGACTACAGTACTAGTAAACTGGGAATGGGGTACATGGGGAAATATATGAACAAGTATTTTGAATTTAAGGCTAAGACTGAGACAATAAGGGTGGTGGCGTGACCACTTCGAGTTTATGTTATATTGTGTTTGTTACTTGTGAAGGCAGGCCAGTGTGAAGGCGTCTTATGCATTATTGTTGATAAATTCTGACTATGTTTTTTGTCACTATTTTTCTTGTCGGCTTGTGTTGTTGAGTATGTTTAGTAGTGGATTAATCACAGTTGGCTTGGGTCGCTTCTTGAACACGAGCACGAGTAATTAAATGTTTTACTTATGGGCTGGTTGGAGTGTTTAAGAAATCCATATATTTATTTAATATCAAGGAGGTTCAATTTGGTCTGAGATTTACGAGGATGTCAATGTATGTTGTTTGGAGGTCAGTTATAAATTGTATCTGAGCTGACAAACCATCATGACCCGGGGTGACTCTACACAACCTGTAAGAGTAATTCCCGAGGGATTGTATAACTACAGCTTGCAAAACGTATAGTTCGAGACATAGATTATTGGAAAAACTTTTCTATACAATGACTGTGCGCCCCTCCTTACCCTCCCTATCCTGGATGGCACCAGTTCTTACCTCTTCTGGACCGCACCAGTGTACTTCCCTCTCCTATATAAGTGCAACATTTACAAACATGTTTTAGTGTAATTTCCATCATATTTCATAGGTAATGTTTGTAATCTAACATTTATATTTTTTGGCAGAATCCTCAGCGGCGAGTAAGCTGGGCGGATGCTTCCCCGGGCGAGGAGAGGTGACGACTCCGACGGGCCGGGTGCCAGTGTCATCCATCCGGGAGGGTGACGAGGTGCAGGTCATGCGGCCGGATGGCACTCTGGCCTTCAGTCCTGTCCTCATGTTCCTGCACCGAGATCTTCTCATCTCCCGCTCATTCCTCACACTCACCACCGCCAGTGGCGCAGCTCTCACCCTCACGCCCTCACACCTCATCCTCCTGCTTCAAGGTTACCTCTCGCCCTCGCCCACGCCTACTGTAGCGGAGGCTCTGGAGCGCGGCGGTGTGGTGCTGGCGGGAAGGGTGGAGGCGGGAGACTTCCTCCTTGTTACAAGCCATGGGAAAGTGAGGCTGGAACAGGTGGTGGGAATTCGGCACGAAATCGGGGAAGGAGTCTTCGCCCCTCTTACGGCTGAGGGCACGGTAGTGGTCGATGGACTCGTAGCCTCCTGCTATGCCGTCATAGACTCCCAGGCGATAGCTCACTGGGCCTTCCTGCCCGTCAGGCTGTACAGTAATCTGAAGGAGGCAGTTCTAACTTTGCTGCGAGCTCTAGGTGCCCTCACACCCTCCTTGCCAACTAAACCAGTTAAAGCTTATAATGAGAGACGTTTGTTCACCGGGAGCAATAACAGCGAGCGGTGGCGGGAGGACGCGCACACCAAGAGCGTGAAGACCGTCCACATCCACTGGTATCCTCGTCTCCTCTACACTCTCGCCTCCTGGCTCCTACCCGCCCACCTCGTCTATTCCTAGTGAAGCGGCGGCTCTTGTCATTGCGCCACGTGTAGTGAAATAAGCGTGTGCGAAGCGCTTAGTCCGCTGTTTAGAGAAGCGTGTAGTAGCGAGGCGAGGGTTGAGCCCAGATTGCTCGTGCTGTGCCGTGGGAAGCTTCCTGCCTGTGTTACGTCACCAACATAAAGCACCAAAACTATGTTGGTCGTGGATATGCCCAAAGCTAAATTCTAAGCGACAAGGATACTCCCACCTAATTGAATATGTATAGTGTTTATGCAAATGACTGCCAGAGTGGTGTGCGCTTTCGGATATCTGTGAGAACAGAAAAATAAAACTATTTACCACAGACTTTCCTATGCAGCACTGAGGAGTGCTTACAGACATCTTCATGTTAAGCTCACGAGAAACTTAAATACTTAAAGCTTTAGAGTGAACATAAGAGACATGTGAAAATCCCTTGTGAGTGCTGTGAGAGCTTTGGTGAGCGACTTCAAGACCTGAGAACCCTGTTTAAAAGTCGATAGCAAAAAAGCGAAGCTTGGGACTTAATTGCGAATTTCCGTATTGAGGCCGGGGAGAAGTTTTCCTCACTCATGGAAGACTTCTACACCCAAGATGAGTGTCGCTAGTTTACAGAGGACTTCAAGGCTCGGTGAGACTGAAGTTTGGTATATAGACATCGCCGCACACGACGAGGAAAGAGCGATTTCGAAGAAGGTGGAGAGGCCCAGGCTGAATTTAACCTGGATCAAGGCTTGTGATAGCCAGGGCGGCCGCTGGCGCCCGTGGCCCAGAAATGTTATAATCTCAACGAAGACGTGGAGGAATGTGGTACTCCGTACATTATGGAGGGTGGAAGATGGGTGACTGCATGTATTTAGAATTTACGTATGAATGACTGTGACTGTGTGAGTGGAGTGTTACATGGCCAGTTAATAGTCAGTCTCATACATTTACCAGTTCTCAACTTTTAAAAATTGTGTGCCATAGTCCATAAAGATGCATTGGCTACGTGGGCATGCTTGGTTAGTAGTGGTAAGCCCCTATTTTGGGCCTCTTTCTCACCCACTTCATCTCCCAATTTGGGCCCCTCCCTACCCCACTATGGGCCCCTCCCTACCCCACTATGGGCCCCTCCCCACCCCAATTCTTCAGTCCACATTATGTTCCTTCTCTTCCCAGCCGGCGCCACATGCTACCAATCCTCACTTTTCTTCTTTAGAAATCCCCCTTCTTTCCTAGGCCTCATTTTTCCTTACTAATCCCCATTCGTGACTAGTCCCCATTCTTCCAGACTAACACAAGCTTTCCTCAGACAATCTTTAACGTTCTCCTCAGACCAGGAAACTCCAAGTGGAAAGCTTACACAGTATCCGGAGAAGCGTTGCGCGTCCAGTGTTTCTGTAGAGCTCCCGCGTAGCTCTCGTCATGTTCAGTAACCGCTTGTGTTCTGTATGGCTTCCTGTATGAACTCCTTGTGTACATATGCTGCATAAATGTGTATATCATAGTTGTAATAATTTACATAGCTGTAATTTATGTTCTGAATAAACTATATATCGTTGTTTCCCTTATAAATTATTTGTAAATATATATATCTAGCCTTGTGATTTTAGTGTATGTGAGACTCTTGCTAATGACTGGGATTCACGGAGGTTATCTTGAGGTTATCTTGAGATGATTTCGGGGCTTTAGTGTCCCCGCGGTCCGGTCCTCGACCAGGCCTCCACCCCCAGGAAGCAGCCCGTGACAGCTGACTAACACCCAGGTACCTATTTTACTGCAAGGTAACAGGGACATAGGGTGAAAGAAACTCTGCCCATTGTTTCTCGCCGGCGCCCGGGATCGAACCCGGGACCACAGGATTACAAGTCCAGTGTGCTGTCCGCTCGGCCGACCGGCTCCCTCTTCTACTCCTACATATTCAACAAGTTTGTCACAGACGTCCATCTCACGCTTCATTGGTCTCATTTTCAGCCCATACGCAGAGCTCATACATTTGGACTGGTCAGTACAGAGACAGCCTTGCTTTGTGCATGGGCGGCGTTCGATCCCCGATGGTCAAAGTAGTTGGGTACCGATTCTTCAACCCATCCTCATATCCTTTGGAAGTGCTGTATACTCATACTGGCTCAGCACTTTCCTCACAATTACCTTACGTCCCGCATTACTGTGCTTCTTCACACACCCGCTCCACGAGGCTATGTTTGCTTACTTCACAAGTGGCTCATCTTAAGATATATAAAGCAAAAACCGCTAAGTCTGAGAGAAACTCAACAAGAGGCTTTAGATGTGTTTTGTCATGTGCTTCTGTAATGTGTAAAATAATTAAAAGAGAAAATCAAAGCATCTAGATATTAGATAATGCAGGTGTGAGGCACAGTGCCACCTGTGGGTTAATGACTTGCCCACACATTGTTCCCTGTGCCTACGAGTGCCAAGTTCTAAGTATCCTCAACACTCCTCATGAGATTATTGTCTCATACTAACACACACCAGATATGATAAGTGTATAGTCTACATGTTTCAAACGATAATTAATCCCATGAACTGAAACACTCTCACAGTATTTTCAGACGTGTGAGGTTGAGTGTCTAATTATCAGCAATATTATTGTGACGTTGTCTGCATAAAGTTTAAGAAATCCAGTCACACTGAACAAGTCGTTACGAATAATAATAATTACAATAATTTTCCAGTCACTGGCTCGGTACATGGTTATTCCAGCTAAGTGGTAGCTGCTGTCAGCTACCACTTAGTCACTGCTCGTGGCTGGTGACGAGCAGTGACCAGCCTAAAGAGACGACAAATGTCACTAACATGCAGTCCGCCAACCCACGGACATCATTAGTCCAAGGTGACAGCGTGCCAGGGAACAAGGCACTCTGCGGCACACCGCCGACTTCACACACTAACACCTTAACACGCGCCGCTCTCGATACAAGACAAAGTGTCAGAACTTGCATGGGCCGTGAAGCTACAATTGTGCCACATGATCATTTCCTTCTTGCAAGTTTGCTCCAAACTATACAATTTCTCTGAGAGTTCTTGATTATATACGTAACTGCCATTATTTGTCAGCCATAACTATAATCATTATAGGGGGAGTAGATCTTTAGTGTTACGCAACTGTGCCAAAAACAATTCAATAACCCGAGATATACCCGATGGTTATTTTGGAAATATTTTTTTCATATACGTAATTCCCCAGAGATGTCGTAGCGCGTTCCTTCCATTACCACTCCGTAACAAATGCAGCGATTTTTACCTAACCAAAAGCGTCAGGACCCAGATAACTCTCCTAACCTTCTGGAGCCGATCATTAAGGCCGGGAAGCGTCAGTAATGCCAGGATTGTAATCACACTAAACTACAGCAAATGTTTACGGTGGGGTCCATGGCGTAAAAAGTGAAGTGTTCAGTAAGATTATGTTTATTATAACCCATCCACCAAAAGCTATAGTATCTATAAATAGTATGGATGCAATGTACATAATATAGACTGTTTTACAATACAAGTCCGCATCTTGAGCTATTGAAATTCTAAAGAAAGTAAACACCGAAACAGCTTAACTATAGCCTGTCTAACCCTAAATAAACAATCCTGGACCTATATATATATATATATATATATATAATATATATATATATATATATATATATACATATATACATATATACATATATATGTGTGTGTGTGTGTAATATACTCAGCATAAGAAAGGTCAGTTTTGGCGATCGCCTTCTTTCTTAACTCCTCTACACAATTAAGATCACACGTGTTGTATATTTGCATGCAACAGTTCATATTTTAAACATTATGTCTATAGTAACAATATATATATACCATCATTTCTGAAGGTCAGGTTGACGGATCACAGCTTCACCGTGCCAAGCCTATACCTTGGGTCTTCATCAAACATATTTAGCAGTAAGCAGTTACGTGATGTGTGTCAATTTATATTTTATACAAAACTATCTCAAGAACAACATATGTTAATTATCATTATTTATTGGTGGTAATTAATGAATGGTTGGCAGTACTCTGCAAGCAACACATCCCTGCACCTAACACTAGCAACACATCCCTGCACCTAACACTATTCTTCTTGCTTGCTGCTGGTCCTTTCATCACCTATAAAACTTTATCAAATATATACATATATATATATATATATATATATATATATATATATATATATATATATATATATATACATACAAAGAGAGCCAGCAGCACGACACATGTAAAGAGTGGCAGTGTGAGAACTGAGGCGTAATAAACCATGACAGAAGACGACCCACAGGTGTTTCATCATCCCCACAACCCTTACGGCGGGTCACAGTCTGGCAAGCCTCCCCAGGACGCCAGGAAGAAAGGATGGGAACAGGAACTGGGGGCACCGGGGCGAGAAAGGATGACATTGAAGAATGTTATTATCACTAAATCCACTCCGCATCTTACCTTCAGTACACCTCTTGTGGTTCCCCAGATTAGTGCTTCCGCATCCCGGTCTCTAACTTCTCACCTATCTTGATATGATTTCGGGGCTTTAGTGTCCCCGTGGCCCGGTCCTCGACCAGGCCTCCACCCCCAGGAAGCAGCCCGTGACAGCTGACTAACACCCAGGTACCTATTTTACTGTTAAGTAACAGGGGCATAGGGTGAAAGAAATTCTGCCCATTGTTTCTCGCCGGCGGCTGGGATCGAACCCAGGACCACAGGATCACAAGTCCAGCGTGCTGTCCGCTCGGCCGACCGGCTCCCTAATTCAAGATTCAAGACCATTCTTACAAACATTGGACAAATGCTCTTTAATCAAAGAGAAGTCCCCATTTTATATGATGGAAAACACTTTAGACATGATTCAAAAGATTACGGTCGAACCTTCCTTAAACAGTACTATGCCTTCTTCACGTGTTCGAATCTCACCTCTCTATATACTTCACACTTCTACAGCAAATATAAATAGTTGCCAATAGAGCAAAGATATCTAGCCTAATCTAGACCTAACTATACACAAAATTATTATTTGCCAAATAATTATTTATTTATTAAATTATTATTTATTTAAGAAAATACAGAGTTTGGTTACTCACGAGAGAAAGCGATGCATGTGTTCCTGGGATCAGCCGCACGTTGGACGAGCCTGAAGATGAGTTGAATAAAAAATAATTACCAAGAGATATAACATTTCTAACCTACTCTATCCTATGTCTAACTGTACATATAATTATAACATGAAATCATGTTTATTTACCGTTGAGAGAATACTAATTTGTTGTCATTGCACAGTAGGGAAACTTAGTGGTGCATTCTGGAGGAGCCTGAAGCCTGCATGGTCATAGCCAAAGGAAGATTTGCACTCTGAGGTACTTCTACTTCATACTAAATGAATTATTATCAACACTTTATCTACGGTAAAGTGATCTGACCTGCTTCAAACACTTTGGAGTGCAGGCGATGAGTCACAATAACGTGGCTAAAGTATGTTGACCAGACCACACACTAGAAGGTGAAGGGACGGACCGAAACGTCGTCGTCCCTTCACCTTCTAGTGTATAGTCTGGTCAACATACTTTGGGAGTATCTGAAGCAATAGTGAAGCTGAGAACGAGTCCTTTTTACAACCAAAATCACTCAAGAGACGATGCACTTAAAATTTCATAAATACTTAAAATTACTCAAAACAGAAGTAAATTATCTAGGCAAATACAAAAGTATATAAAGGAATCCTAAGAGTTGACACATCTACTTAAAGCTGTTAGCATTTAGTACGCAATATTTCGAATTATCACTTTATTCACTTAAAGATGAAACTAATGAAAATACCCAATCTGAAATAAACATTAGAGTTCACCATTCAGGGACCACCTGACGCAAGGCGTAACGCAACCAAATCCTCACCCACTAAAGATGTCGCTGTATAACCCTATGTGGCTGTCCACAGCAACCACAGTGTTATACTGCTCAAACCATCCACCAAGGGCTACACTGACCACAGCAAACACTATAAGGCTGCCCACAGCAGCCACTAGTCGGGGCTTCACTGCCCTCTGCTACCAGCTGTGGGATACAATGTCCACACCGGCCACCGGGGGCTACATGCCTAACACCGGCCACCATGGGGGGTTACACAGCCCAGTTCAAGCTTAGAGATATAATGGTGGAACACAAGCGCTGGCGCCTGGTTGAGCGTGTTAAGCACCAGAGGGAAAGCTGTGGTTCAGGAACATTCACAGGTTTGGAAACATTCCAGTCAATACGATGAGGCGTTCTCAAGATACTCGAAATTAAGTGTCAATATGCAAACCAAAAACTGGTAGGTTTACCGTTCGACAAAGATCAATAATAACCTGTGTCATCTGGATATAGAATTATGTAGTGCCACAGACCGTAATCTGCACATTCATCCCGAAAACAATTAAAGTGTTAAGATATTTTGTACCATCACATCACGTTCTCTCATTCGCCAGATGCTGAAAGATATTGAGGATTGCACGGCCTAAAAACGAATATACACTTTATACACAGCTTCTTGGTGTACAGAGTTTTCTTTAGTCCCGG